GGCAACCTGTTCCAGTACCTCGCCATCCTCAATGTAAAAAATTTCTTCCTTATATCTAAGTCAAATCATTTTACATATTTTAAAAACCTGAATAGCTTTTTTCCTAAAAGACATGATCCAAACTACCAGCTACTCTTTCAATGCAAGCATCAATCACCAGTAGCCAAGTTGGAATCAGAATAAAAATGCACTATTCTCCAGACACTAACTTAAATTTACTGAAACAAGTACTGACCAATTTCAACAAGCAATAAAAGTGGTGGTTTGGGGGTACTGACTGATAGATGAGTTCCTCATTTGTTCTGTAGGACTCAGGGCAGCATTTAAACAGTTTTGTTTCTTTTTTCTTCATTTTTAAATGAAACCTTTTTTTCTCCCTCTGGCTCTCTTATCTATTGATGTAACTGGTGTTGCATGAGAAATTACCTCATTTCAATGGCTGGAGCCAGTTTTTCTATCAGCTGCAGTAAGGTTTCCTCATTTATTTAATGAGCCTGGATAGGTAGGAAATTAAGTATTAGGAGCTGCAGATGAAGAAAACTAAAACAGAATTTTCTGTTTATTAGGATGGTTTAAAAAAAAAAAATCTGTATTAATATAGCCAGGACATATAATTGGTATTTGGATTATGGCATGATTATTACTTTGCAGACTGGGGATTCCGTTATCACTCAGTCATCAACAAAGTAGCTGCATTCTGTGCTCATCTCATCTCTGAAGCTGAAAGAAGAGCTAGTTATTATCTTCAAGTGGGGTTATTAATGAGGGGAAAAATCATCCCCAATTACTGCGAAGCAAAATATTTCAACATTTACATATCTGAGATTTCAATTTTGATCTAGTCCTTTGTGAGTTCTTAAGCTCAGACGGTATTCACTTTTCCAAACGTTCCCACAGCAACATATTGAGGGGAACTTGCACCTGTCCAAGTGCTGGCTTCCCCAGGTGACTGCTTCAGGGTCACAGAAATGCTGCCCATCCCATCCACATGCTGCCAGAGACTTATTTCCACCGAGATTCCTTCATGCTACACCGCAGGAAAGGAGTCTTAAGCTTAAGCTTTGTCAGGGAAGTAAAATTCTGACCTGCTTATACTGTCTGTTGTTCACAGCCCTTCTTTTCTTAACTAGAAACAGCCTGGAATTTATTTGAAAGAGCTAATTTTACTCTTTTGCTTTTTTTTAAACAAGACATTGATTCTTGTGAAATTAATGGTTTGGAAGTTTTGACTCTGAACCTCCTAGAATAAAACCTGAGCAGCACAAAGATGATGATTTAAATTCAGTTAAGCATGCGGGCAGTAACCAGGAGATGGGAGAAGTGCTGGCCATGCTGTGAATCCATCCATCAACACAGATGCGAAGGTCTGACCTTGGCAGGTTCAGGAGGTAGAGACGTCAAACACAGTTTGCAGTCAATTGGAAATGTAGCCACTAGACAAAGAAAACTCAATAATTACACAGCTGTTTCAGTAGATTACAGATTTCCTAGAAAACAAAAAAACGCGAATGGAAGAAGTAAACCAACTTTTTTTCATTCAAAAACTTAATTCCTGAAAGTCATCAGAGAAGTCCTTTGTAAACGTCTTATCTCTTCTCAAAACCCACAAAGTCTGTAACTAATCAGTGTAGATTTCTCTGTGCCCATTAATGCTTCGTTGATTTACAATGAAACTGCTGCAGAAAGGACTGTCTTGGACAGCCATATAAATATTAAATTAATTTCTTGTGAAGGATGGCTGCTATTACACTAAATATTAAATGAATTCATAATACTTGGACATTTGCAATAAATCACTACTGGGACTGCATGCTAACATCTCGTTCCAAATCTTTTCTCTTTTTAATATTAAAACCACGGAAAAGGACCGGTTGCTCTCCAAGTGTGCAGCTTTGTAACACTGGAGTCATTAACGAATTCCCACAACACGAGGAGGAGTTTTAACTTAGTCCCTTTTTACAGATGGGGGGAGGAGGCATGAAGGGGTTTAGGTTGAACTGCTGATCACAGGAGGTTCAAACCCAATCTGTTTCTCATGCAAGACATCATCGTAAATTATCAGCTCCTGACAGTCCTTGTTTTGCTTGAAGTGCTCTGAGCAGCATCGACAGAGGATCTGGCAATGTGATACCAGAAGGCTGAGAGCATTTGCCAGACTCAAAGGGAGAAAGAGCTGGATGTAATGTCTAATCTCCAGGCACCCAAAGTGGTTAGTATGAGTTCACCTCTAAATATCTTGCCCGAGGCCACTACGGGAAGGATGGGACTCCTCAGGTTTTGACTAGCAGGACTAGGCTTAGCAATGGAAGTAAGCCATCTCTCTTCAGAGAACACAGACCTTGATCTCAAAAGTTTTGTAAAATGCTCAGTGGACTAAGAAGGGCTAAAAATCAATTCTTTATTTTTCCTTTTGTTAAAGTAGAATGAAGGGTACATCAGCAAGTTCATCATAGCTCTCTGTTATCTGAGGGACAGTAGCCTGAGTGTAGAAGTTTATGCCAGGGCTAACCGGGTGGAGTGGAAGTCATTCTTGTAAACAAAATCGAATGACTGTCAGACTCATCTGCTTTTTAATGTGCAAACGGGTGTGAATATATGCATCTCCTTCTTTCCAAAGATTTTTGCTTCTATGCCTTAAATGGTCTAAGTCACACGAGGTTTTTGTAATGAAAAATTGCCAAGGTATTTAAATTAGGAGCAAAAACTAGAAAAGCTGCTACCACACAGGAATATTAATTGTTCATTATACAGGGGTTTAGTTCTCATAGTTACTTTGCATGTGCAAAGCTGCCAATTAAAGAGCTCAAAGTGCTCACTGCTGCACAATAGCCATTTCTCTCGAGCCCCACAATGGCTATTGTATTCTGTCACTGACCTTTAGACACCTTCAAATGCATATTGACACAGTATGCTGGGATCATTAGAGCTATTGTTTCAGTGCACCACAGGGAAAGGAGAGTTTTGTGATTTCGTGAAGAGCTTTAAAATTTGATATAACGATGACAGCAGTGATATTTCTTAATTAGAGAGAGACACTGAAGTATTTTTCTGATGCTTCAGGTGAATTCCAGCTTGAACACCTACCACAGTTTCCACAACGGTGCCTTCCCATTGGGGAAAGATGTTTATCAGGGGCGTTTGGTCTGCTTTTCTATTGTTTCCAGGGGAATTTATTTAGTGGTTTTGATCTGATGGTGCCATATGGCCAGCTTCCCTTAGCTTCCATGCATTCTGCCTGGATGAACATCTTGGCAGGATGGGTCCTTTCATCCTTTAAGTGACAAATGCTCTTTTAAACAGACCGTATAGCTGGAACCAGTGGTATGCAGGAGACTGGGATCTGGAATCGTAGTTGAGACTCTACTCTTCAAAAATCAGTGGACGTTGTCTCTGTGATAACAGCTATGCTTCATTTTAGCTCTTCCATGTCTTAACATCTAAGGTATTTCTGTTTTCTTACCAGTCTGTGACAGCTAAAGAATGCAAACAGGATCTTTGGGAGCAGAGATACCAGATACTCCAAGTACATTTACTGTAGTAAATCCAAGCATCTTCTGAAAGCTTATATTTACTTTATTGTAGCCCTCCTATTCTTTAAAGCTGCTTTGAGAAATTACTTCAGCAGTCAGCACATAAAAGAGCATCCTTTTAAACCTTGCATGGGACGTTTTGTCTACAGAGAATAAATAAATTGCTGGCTTGTATTTCCAAAGAGTGTTCCTACTTGAAGATAGAGATACAGTTTCCATTCCATAAGTATTACAGTTGCTGGGTTTGTTTTTATCCCCTGGGATCCTATTATAGAACAAATTATCAAATAGATCTAAACTTCACAGCCCTGAGTCTCTGAAGATAGTCTTGGGTAATGGCTTGCACTTCTGACAGAAGAGGAAGAGATCTAACAGACCTTTTGCAAAACTTCTCATGTCGTTTTAAAAAATGGAAGATTCACGGCACAGCATTGCTGGTTGCAACTCTAGCCTAGGGCTGTGCAGCACGTACCGGAGGATAGCCAGTTTCTGCACACAATCCCTCTACCCAAAAAACTTTCTAGCTGAAGGAGATAATATTTGGTGTTTGTGTGTGCTTGAGGTAAATGTACAGCAGGATTTCTCATACTGCTATAAAACCCACAAGGTCAGATGTGTTTCTTCAGTAATGCGGGCTGAACTTTTTTTTTTTCATATTCATTGAAAAGGTGCTGTTATTTTATTTTCATCCCTCTATATCAGAAACCCTTGTAGAACTTTGAAACCTCCCGTGCGCTGCCACTGCAATTGCCAATTGTAAATTTTGTGATCTGTCTTCAAACCTCAAGGTGATACCTTTCCCTTCACACATAAGGAGAAGTGACCCACTTCTGGGAGGGAGACATGAATAGGTACAGCTGTGTGACGCAGGGTGTAAAGGGGAGCATGTGCTAGAAAGAGGGATTAAACCACTGTCTCATGCCTCCATTCTCCATGCAGTGGATCTGCATCAGGTGGTAAATGAGACAGTAATGATGAACGCTTCTCTTGTAATCAGCTGGGATCTGAAATTTCTCCTCAGACCTCGTGCTTCACGTTGGAGGTTTTTAGCCATAGGGCTGTTACTTTTAGGGAGGTTCTCTATTGAGGGACAGGATTCTCCTGGAAGAGAGAGGGCAGCACTTCAACTGCCGCCTTCCCTGCATGGGAAGTTTGTACCTTTACTGTCCCACTGTAGCTGCACTATTTCTTTCAAAAGGCATATTATCACTATCTGAATGGATTTGAAAATGGAAATAATCTTTGCAGTATGTTAGGTCCTTAGTTTGCAGAACGAGGTGAAGCCCTGTTGGATGGGGAGGGATTTTCATAGGGTCTTTATTACTGAAAGCTCAAGTGCTACCTGGATCTACCTCTAGTCATGGCAGTTTTGGGAGGTTGCCTGCCACACACATTGAGATTTTCGAAAAGAAAAATGAAGGGAGTTAATATGTCTGCTCACTGCCCATATTTTGTTTGGTTCCTTTGCAGAAAGAGAAGAAGAGCGGGCTGCTGAAACTTCTAGCAGGAGCATCAACAAAAAAGAAGTCGCGCTCCCCACCATCCGTGTCCCCCACACATGATCCCCAGGCAGCCATCGAAGGAGTCCTGCAAGGGGCAGTGGGACCTGAGCTCTCCTCCCTCTCCAGCCACGGCAGGGCTGGCTCATGCCCTATCGAGAGTGAAATGCAGGGAGCCATGGGGCTGGAGCCTCTGCACAGGAAAACAGGCTCCTTGGATTTGAATTTTTCCATCCCTTCTCCTGCCAGGCAGCCCCTCTCTTCCATGGCAGCTATTCGGCCAGAGCCCAAGCCTTTGCCCCGGGAAAGGTAAGCTGTGTATCTCCTGAGGTCACCCGCATCTTCAGGGAGTGTTTGGAGGAGGGCTGCAAGTTCAACTTGCTCAACGGTTGTTGCAGTTTTACTGCTCTGTGGATTGACTGTAGGCGGCTCAGTTGTCTTCTAGGAAGACAGGGCTTACATACATTGGCTCATTGAAAACCATTTGACACGCAGTGCGAGTTTAATGTTCATCAATTAAAAAAGTGGTGAGGCAGCATCTGTACAGCCCTGGTCTAAATATGGAGGACAGCAGTGCTTTTTCAGCCCAAAAGGTGTAAATCCTCTTGGCAAAAGCCACTTTTTAAGTGAGATCCCTGTGTTGTAATAAACTCACGAGTCGTCATGTGGCACTTGCTGTCTGTGGACAACACAGGTGAGATGTTTACTCATCGAGGCCCTTTCTGGCCTGTTCTGCAATACCAAAGACTCTTCAAATTCTCCTTGTTTCAGATACTTACAGGTAGTGCCATCTTCAGTGACTTGTTACCGAAAATATATCTTGTTTCTAGAGAGGAATGTACCAGTGATTATGGAATTCAATTCAGCAGCCTGCTCTGCACCTTGGTACTTTAAAGTAACTGACCTTGCAAATCCAAAAAGAGTATAGTAAGAACACCAAAATACGAAAGCAGATGGTGAGAGAGACAACTGAGTAGAAACAGGGGTACGGGAAAGAGCTAGGTCTCTACGTGCAGAGTCATATCGGCTTCTGCAAGACTACAGTTTGAGGACTGGGACGAGAACAGATAATGCACTGATACGATGCTATTGAAATGCTTTCCACTCAAAAAGTGATTGAGAAGAACATGTTTCTTAGAAAAGCATCAAAGAGTTTTCAAAAAGCAGTCTAGGAAATTCTCTGGAGTTAACATTTAAAACAATTTTGGAACAACAGTAAAGTTCCAGAAGTTTGAAAGGAACTATTTTTGCCTGAGTGTATGAAAGAGGCTAAAGGGGATGGACTAGGCAAGCTACCTGATGGTGGCAGATGATGCAGGGCATCATGTAGTAAGGGATACTGCAGGATAGTTCGTACCTTATACAGTGTTTTACTGAATGCAGGTTGAAATTTGTTTGGGAAGGTAACAATGACACTGTAACACATTTAAATTTCTCCAAGGCATCTGGTTCGTTACTAGAAAATGTCTTGCTGACTAAGCTGTACGCAGCCAACACAGCAGATAGTAAGTGGATTGAAAACTGATTCACTGACATCAAATCTAATCTAGATCAGAAATCATAGAAATCATTAGAAAATGAATGTGTACGTATGTAGCATAACCCAACAAGAGCTGAGTCTTGGACCTGCACTGTCGAACGTAAAGTCTTTGCTGTTGCAGAATGGAGGACTGAAGTGGAAGGTAAGTGATGAAGAGGGCAGACCCATTGGTACAGAGCTAATGCAACGTGTTGGTAAGGAGAACACGGAGTAACAGTATATTTCAGAAGAGCCAAATCTGAGGCAAAGTGGAGTGGCCTCAGAGAAGTATCTTAAGAACATGGATGATTTAAAACAATATACTTGAGTGAGTAATACAGGGAGCCCTGGTACACCTGGTAAAGAGCAGGCTTAGGAATGGTTTAATAACAGTCTGTAAGAGACTGCAGACAGGAGAGACATGGGAATATTTTTACTCTAGATTGTACATTTTTTCTAAAAGAGATGCTGTTGTTCAAGTGCAGCTATTAGGCTTGAAGCAGAAATAAATACAGGCAAGTCTTTCAGCATTGTAATGAAGGCAGTGAGAGCAGACTATCACAGTAGTCTGTTGTCCTTAAAATCCATGAAAAAGCAATTTAGCAGAAGGAGTGAAAAACCAGTCCCTATTTAGGTGCACTTAATTTGGTCTACATCAGTTTAAATTAATGCCATAAGAAAAGCTAAATCAATATAAACCAGGTTTAGCACCCGTGTAACTAAATCAGTGGAGTGCTGCACCTTTAGTTACATGAAGCCATGAAAAGAAGCCAGGAAGAACATCCCCTGACATCTCCAGAGCTGTCTGTTGATGTGCTGCTCTCAAAGCTTTACTGCAGAGCAGCACATTATTTAATATGCCAGGGCTAGTCCTATATCCTACAAATTTCTCAGTTCACCTTAGGATGGTCCAGATAGTGAAACATTTGAGATGTATATTTGAAGTGGCAGAATTGAACCAGGTTAGCTGCGTCTGCTCAGCCATGCTGGAATCAGGAGTAAGTAGATTTAGACTGCTAAAACTGAGGAAGTACTTCCAATTGCAGTATATGGTGGTAAGGAACTTACTCTGATTTTAAGCATTTTAATTCCTGAGTCTTAAATCCGAAAATAAGCTATAATTGAAGTAACCCTAATTATACACAGCAGGCAAGATTCTCTAATTGATTTATGAATTAACTTCCATATCATTGGTGTATCTGCATTCCTTAACTGATCATATGGGTTTTTTCATGCCCATAATGGGAAATATTAATTACCTTCATGCACTAGGAAGGATAATCTGCTCAGTCCTGGAATAATCTGAGCAGATACATTAAACACTTGTCTCCTAGAAATTCATCCCACATCCAACTGTGCTCATTAAATCATCAAATTGCTCAGAAATACCAAATTATATTTTTTTAAAAAACAAATTACGGTTTTCAAACCACTTGTTCTTTTCACATCTGGCAAACTCACATTCAACGTCACTCAGCTCCATATTTTGCTTGTTTGCATTTTGGTGCATTTCATCCGCACAGTAGGAGCAATTCTCTGAGAAACAAAAGGGAGGAGAGGGAAAAAAAAGGTTAGATAAACAGATTCAGATGCTGGATGAAATTTTAAAAAGCTGCGAAGCATTTCAGTGCACTTAGCTGTACTTGGCTTTCTGTCTCCCAACGCCCATCTGTGCACGGAGAGACAGAGCCCTGAGAGGTTGGAAGAAGTAGCACATTCCTTAATATTTACGGCATTTGAAATGAGGCTTATGCAGGCGGCAGAGCACGGCTACTTCTCCTGTAGCGGCTGACTTGCAGCTCCAGCACTGGCCAAATCCAGGCTGCTGATCAAACTGGAGCGGCCATGCCGCTGGCCGTATCGGAGGGGCGTTAAAAGGCTCTGATTGCTCAGGGCTCAACACTCCCGATTTAAGGGAAGAATTGCCTGTTCGCTGCCTGACAGCGCAGCCCTTCGTGGGAGTTGCAGCCAGACAGACAGGAAGGTGAAGTGAGCTTCGCCCTCTCGGAGAGGCGGCTAATACTTATGCTCTCATTCGTTTTCTGTGCACGAGGAGAGTGAGGAAAACAATTGTTTTATCTTATTCTGCTTGATACTCCAAAACCTGGTTATGGATGGCTGGGTTAGAAAGGAAATTACTTCTAGCTCTCCTGTCTTTTAGCCTTGATATTTAACTGATTTGCTGGAATAGTTAGTGCCCATCTCTGCCTTCTGGGTGTAGTTTCCCACTATCGGTTTATAAAACCACCTTCCTTCAGCTGCTCTCTGCCATAAACCATCCAGCAGTCAGAGCAGCCGAGCGGAGAAATTTCCCCGGTGGTGTCCTTGTCACTTCGTGTTGCAGTGATTGACTGTCAGGTGAATACCCCATCAGGCTGCACGTGCCCCGCACGCTCTTTTCCACCCTTTTCCACTGCTCCATCCAGCTTCTGCTGGTGCAAGAAACAGGACCGGTACAGGGATGCACTGTGGTTGGGCAGAGCCTTGCCCACATCCCACCGACGCTGTCGGTTCATGTGGGAGAGGGGTGTGCTGTCTGCCTGGCAGCGCCAAAGCAAAATACTTTCCTCGCCACCCCCTTCAAGAAAATATGACTGTACGTTAACCAAAACAGGAGAGCTGAGCGTGCGTGTGCGTGAGTCATGTTCCCCTCGCTGCCTGGCACTGTTCCCAGATGCAAACCTGAGTAAAACATGTCACGCGTTGTTGACTCTTTTATGGTAGCTGGCACTGATTCTGCCACGTTCTATTCTGACAAAGCGGTCGCATCCAGACTTACTGTCACGACTGGCATATCTGTGCTGCGTTCCTGTGGTTTTCGTGGAGCCTTCAAGCAAGTAACCACAACAGTGCTGCAGAATAAGAAGGGAGCAGTGAGTTTGACCTTTAAAATAGACCCCTCTGTGTTTCCATGTCTCCTTTCTACAAATCACTGCCACGTTAGAAATTGAGCTCCCAATTCAAGGAAGCGTTCAAGCATGTGCTTAACGCCCATTGACTTCAATTTTGCTGCGCACGTATATCTTCTTTGCCAAAAGGGAAAGCAAAGGAAGGGTTTTTTTCTTTCCTGGAAAGTGATACTAGAGAAATGACCCAAGAGTAAGTTCTGACTGAACAGTGACATATGTACACGTGGTTAAGTGCTTCTCTGACTGGGGATACCTGAGAAACTAGAATTAACCAGATCAGAAATTGAATCTTGCTGTATTTCCAGCAGAAGGGTATAAGATTCAACTGACATTTGTTTTCCTAAAGGCTGCTGATTCAGATACCATAATATGGTGAAGCGGGTTCTGGCTCGTAGTGTGCAGAGGCACTTTGCAGGTCTCTCTCTACAGTCTGCCAGTAAAGGGATGGAGAAATAGACCTCCACCGAGAAGCGAGAGCCATGGTTAACCAGGCTAGATGCCTCATTTTCACTGATTATCTATCCCACACAAAACTAATTGTGTATCCCTAACACACAGGGCCCTGTTGGAGTCACAGGACAGGACTCCTGAAACCTGTCCTGAGTACATGATACTTTGACAAACAGAAACCTGCATTAAGCATCCGAACTCAAGCACTCTAGATGGGACTGGATCATAGGTTAGCTCTACAAACCTAATTTGCCTCATTGTACCTCTGTTTTCTTAAGTGTCTCTAGCTCCATCAGTGTCCTGGATGCACATATTTACTCATTGAGCAGATACTCAGTATTTTAGGTTTGTAGGGTTTTTTTTCTCAGCATCCAGGCCTGAGCCCAGTCCTTAATTACTGATCAGTTCTGATCAATAATGTTCAATGCCTG